AACAATGCTATGAAAACAAGAAAGAGCATTATTTACAGAAGAAGAAGGATTACTATGAAAACAAAAAGGAAAAGATACTACAAGATTGTAAAGAATACAGAGAAGAACACAAGGAGCAAATACAGGAATACAAGAAAGATTATTATGAAAGGAATAAAGAATACATAAAAGCAAAGAGCAACAAGAACTATTATGATAATATTGAAGATAGAAGAGCAAAGAATAAGGAATACAGAGATCAACACAAAGAAGAAAGAGTAGAATACGACAAGCAATATAGGCAAGATAATAAAGAAAGAATAGCTCGATACAAAAAAGATTATCATGAAAAGAACAGAGATACCGTACTACAGAAACACAAAGAATATCACAAACAACATAAAGAAGAGCAAAACCAAAAACGACGTGAATTCTACCAAGATCATAAGGAAGAAATCAACAGAAAGCGAAGAGAAAAGCGTCAACAAGCAAAAGAACAACAAATGAATTAATTCATTATAAATATTAATTTCTCACATATTAATATTTATAATGGCTTCACTAAATAATTTAACGGCAGTTTATGCAGATAGATTTTATTTGTCATCTTCAACGGGTGTAAGTGAAATATCAGATACATATGCTACAAAAACCGAATTAGGAGACATCAACACTGCAAACTCTTCAAATATAACAGCCAACGCTGACGCTATTTCAGTCTTGAATACAAAGCAACTACAAAACTTTCATGACATCAGTTCTATCTCTCATATTTTGGCGACTACATATCAAACTAATTTGCAAATATCCAGTAGTTACTACAGTAAAGTAGAAATAGATACTACATTTTCTAATTATTATACATCAACACAGATTGACACAAATTTATCTACTAACTTCCAAACCAACACGCAACTGGCAACCAATTATTATGATAAGGGCGAGGTAGATACATTAATAGCAGGGGCTGGATCGGGATACACAACTACTGAGGTTGATAATCTACTAGACTTAAGAGTTCCCAAATCAGATTTTACAAATAGATTTAGTGCCAATCCTATTATTGACTGTAGTGCCCCTACTGTTATTCATAGCGGTTTAACATTAAACAACTCAACTATTAATATATCGCCAGTAGCAGGATTATTATTTAGTAATCAAACAGGAGGAGGTGATAAAGTATTAGCAGAGTTTAAAAACGCAACGAGTTATATAACTTTACAAGGAGATAAAATATTTTGTAATAATACATCAGATGACGCTATTAAACAATTAGATTTATCAAATAATAATGCAGGTTATAAAATGAGTGGTAAAATAGCAGTGCCAAGCGGTGGGTTAGTAGTAGAAAACACAGCAGATGCTAATCTATCATTTACAGTTAGAAATACTGGTAATTATATTACTTTTAATAATGATAATATTGATTGTTATAATTCAGTTGGTGATACAGGTAGGATTTTACAACTAAATAATAATGCTAATCAGTATGTTAAATCTCATTCTTTATTAATTGATACAGGAATAGAAACATTAACAGGAGGTTATACATTAGATGTTGTTGATAGTGCTATTATTAGACAGAACTTAAAGGTAGATGGTGATATTGATTTAACAACTGATTTCAATTTTGATGGAGAAAACGCTAATATTAATAATGCCAATGGATTAACATTTTATAAAAATACAACAGACGCTAGTAATGTTTTAACTGTAAAAAACGCACAAGGGTATTTAAAATTTAACTCATTTAATATTAATGCTTATAATACAAGCAATGACAGTTCTTCATTACTTTTATTAAATACTGCAAATGGTAATGGTGTCTATTGTTTAAGTTTAGGCATCGGAGCAATTCAAGGCGCAAATAAACTAAATGTAAGTGGTGGGAATGCTAATTTTGGTGGCACCTCATCATTTCAAAACACATCAACATTTAATGGTGATATTTATGTCAATAGTTCAGGCAGGATATTTCAAAGAGCAGACGCTAATAATTCATTAAATATAATATCAACAGAAGAAATTAATTTTTCATTACAACCAAGAACAATTGATCCTACAACAGGAACAATAGCACTACAACTAAACGACACTAACGGAATTACATTAAACAGAGCAGTCGTAAATAATCTTACTTTTAATAGTATTGGTAATATTGTAGGTGAAAGCGATGTTATTAGTTGGGGTAGGTTTATGTTTCAGAACAGCAGTGAATTAAAGGAAGTTTTAGACACTCAGTATAAGTTATATATCAGAAATGGAGACACTGCGGGAGAAATGAATTTGACAATAGGATTGGAAAGTAGCACACCGGAAATTCAATTAACAGAAGGGAAAGTGAATTTATTGGGGAATTTAGAAATAACACACGATGATATAACAGGACAGCAACGAGTATTAATAAATAATCCAGACGACAACGGATGGATAAGATTAAGTAATAACAACTTATCAACATTAGACGCAACAACAACAGGTGTGGATGTTTATGGTGACCTTTCATATACAGGGTCATTAATTCCTTCATCAGATAAAAGATTAAAGAAAGATATAAAAGAAGTAGATAGCAAAAAAGCAGTAGACCTAATAAAATATATTAAACCGAAAACATATCATTTTATTGATGACAGACAACAAGGTAAATCGTGTGTAGGATTTATCGCTAATGATTTTATGGAAACAAAGAAGATGCCGGATGAATGGCAGAATGTAGTTAAAGAAGGAAAAGATGGATATTTAAAGTTTGATTATACAACGTGTGTGCCAATTTTATGGAGTGCTTTACAGACAACAATAAATGAAGTAGATAAACTGAAAAAGGAAGTAAATAAGTTAAAGAAAAATAAGAGTGATAGTGATTAATAATATTTTGATCAATAATATTTTAGGAAATAATATTATTAATCACCTATTTCAAAGCGTTGTTCAAAATTAATATAAAACATGTTATTCACATCTTTAGCATTTGTGTTTATATAAAAGAACGAGTAAGGCGCAAAGTTCACCGCTTGTTGATACATGTCATAAAGTGTTCGCTTGTCTACAAGGGCACTATTCTCTTCTAGGAAACTATTTACCTCGTTCATGTTCTTCAGTCTGAATATGAAAAGTGCCGAGGCATTAAGTCTTATTATAGGGGCAAGGACATTATATTTTTGTGTTGATAAAATACATGAGATGGCATTATGTCTTCCACGTGTGAACAATCCATGCAAGATATTTGAGTATCTTACAAATTTAGGATCATCGGCAAAGTCGTCCACCACTATTAAAATACTGAATAATTCCTTTTGTTTATTCTTCTTCTGGAAGTCTATTACCTTGTGTTGCGTTTCTATTATATGCTTTAACGCAATTGGATCGTATTCTTCATAATATACTTTTTCCTTTTCGGTATCCACTTTCATTACGTCAGTAATGTATTTCTTGACTGCTCTCCATGTGTCATCCACATGCACACTAGGGCTAAAAATGTATATCCTTTCAAATGAACCACGGTATATCTTTAAAATTAGATTTTGTATTAAAACAGACTTGCCACCCGTTGAAGAGGCAACACATAACATTCTTGCAGGTAGACTTGGCATCATCCCGTATTTACTATTCTTATAATTGTATTTGGGTATGTCTATAGGTTCTACTTTAGGAATATCTTCTAACATTAATACTAGTGAGAAATTATATCAAAAAAATATATATGGATAAATACATAGAAGTAATAAATGAGATAGAGAATTTTGATGAAATAATAAAAACTCCAAGATACAGAATGTGTTGTCACAGTTTGTTGGAATTTCTTAAGGCATTTTTATATTATCTTAAAAATGTTAAAAAATGTAAATAATATATATACATGGATTGTTTGTTTACTAAGAAAGAAAACAAAGAAAATAAAACTGATTGGCTGGAGGAAAGAAGAAATATTAGAATGTATAACGCCAGATTAAGTGCTATTATAGATGAACTAGAGGATTATTATCATTATGAAGAGTATAAGAAGCGATTTAAATTGTTGTTTGAGTTTTATCAGCTGGAAGAATTGCAAAAATAATGTTGTAAAGAGTGATTTACTTATAGAATGACGCAAGGAACGAGCCCCGCGTGCATTCGCGTCAGCGCCCCATTTCTCCCATTTCCCCAGTGTGCCTTCCATAAGCATGTCAAAAGAACATGGTAATGGTTAATTAGTTTGAAACAATGCTTGTCATAATTAATAAATTATGATAAATATTGTAAAATAATATAATATGACAATATATGTTGATAAGATAACCATGGATTTTAATACTGAGCATTACCCTCCCCATTGTGATCGGCAATGTGTTAGATGTAAGAAGTTGAAGAATTTAGTGCATTTCAAAAGATATTATCATTGTAAAACGGGGAGGTATTTAATGCAGTGTAGAACCACTGTTACTTGCTGTGAATGTCTTGATGGAATGAAAAAGTATAATGATAAAAGGAAACGTGAGTTAAAAAAAACATAAGTATAATGTAAGCACATTTCATAAGAGTTTATGGAATATAATCCTATTATGATTACAACCTTTATAACCAAACCTAGTAAAATCTATGAGAGAACCCTTGCCCATTTTGGGTAATAATACCACCTTAGGGAATATGGATAGGGTAATTGGTTATTCCTATACTGGTCTTGGTAATGGGGAAGTAGTGGTGATATTTGGGGGATAGTAGTAGGGAGTATAGGAATATTCCTCTTATATGGATGAGGCAATCGGTTATTCCTACACTGGTATTGGTAATGGGGTAGTAGTGGTGATATAGTTGGTGAGGTGTAGGGGGGAGTATAGGAATAATCGTCTAATGGGTTGACTGGTGGTATTATTACCCGAAATGGGCAAGGGTTCTGCTAACTGTTGTAGGGTCAAGGAAAAGTCAGAGTCATCTGGGTTGTTAACAACGCAAGACCTCGGTGTCGAAAGCTTGGAGAGGAGAGCATGCAGTATGCCACAGCATGTGCCTGAACAAGTCTTCTGTATTTGTCATTCTCTGTGCAGGGGCCACGTACAAGGGCCAGTGGCAGAACAACAAGCGCCACGGGATAGGTGCGCGCCGCTCCCGCTGGTTTTAGAGGGTTCTGCGGCGTTCTCTTGGATAAACAAGATTCCTTCTCTGCTCACAAGTGGGGAGCCTTGAGACCTCGGGGGGAGTGATATGAGCTCTGCAAGATTCTGCAAGCCTCCAAGCAAGGCAAGGAATTCTTTTGTCCGCGCAGTGGGAAGAGCCGTTTCGTCTGCCTTGGAATTTCTCTGGCACAGGGTAGCGAGAAAACCGAGGCGGGTGAAACCTTTCCTTTCTCAACGGCTTAGCAGGATGCTTCACAGGATGCTTCACTCAGGATGCTCCTCAGGGAGATACAGATGGAAGCCGGCCCTTTGCGAAAGGTATCTGCGTTTTGTGTACGGCTGCTCACAATTTTATTAAACCCTGCATTTACTGACACTCACTCCCGTTACAGCTCTAGCAAGAAGCTCATATCCTGCAAAGGTCTCAGCGGACGAAAAAAATTTTATTTTTTCGGTCCGGCTCTCACATCCCCTAACTCTTCCCCCCCGCAGCCCCAAATCCAACAGCGGAAGCATCTCATTAGTCCACAACCTGAATCGCCGTTGTTGAGACCCTCAGGTTTAGAGCCCCCAGAGCAATCCGAAGCCGCTGATGAACATCCGGGACCTTCAGCACTGATCTGCAAAAAGGCCGACAGGAGTGGCCTGACGGGGCCTCGTTTGAGGGACACTGGCGTGACAACGCTGCCGAGGCGCAGCCTTTGAGGAGTTTTGAGAGGTTTAACACAGTTTTTGTACGTTGCTGTTTTAGGTTGCCCAGGGAATCAGATGAGGCTCTCGAGACAAAAGGTTCCTATCATGCACACGCGAACTGATGGTTAAGGAGGTTTTGGGTGACCCGCCCTGCATGCATGTATATCAACATCACCTCTTGTGAACCCTCGTAGCTCGACTGCAGGGAATGGGCCGCTTCACGCATGCTGATGGAGACGTCTTTGTGGGCCAGTGGAGGATGGGGGGCTGCTCAGTGATTTCCCGCAGATTGCATTGAGACGTGCATTGAGACGTGCATTGAGACGTGCGTTGAGACGTGGCCAGGCCATCTCGCACACATGAGTCGCAGACAGCAGACTTGTAGTTCAGAGGTGATGTTGAACTTGGCTCAAAGGGAACTTCGCTGCGAGACAGTGGCTATCCTGCGTGTGCGCACATCAGTTCCATGTGACCTGAACCCTGCACTAAACCCTCAACTCCCGTCCAATTGCCCAACATGGGACTCAATTTCTACGCAGAGCGTCTGTCTTCTTGGTGAGATGAAACCTCTTTGTAAGATTTTTAAGCGCAGTTTTGGACGCGCAGAATTTGGGACCAGCTTTGGGCTGTGTGAGACCACTTGGCGTTGCCCCGTGTCTGTGTGTTCCAACCCGAGTAAGCAATTTTGTCCAGAGGATTGTGGGCAAGGACGGCAACCGGAACCTTTGAAGCTGGGACGAAGACACGAGTCCTGGGAAAGCCTATGCGGCTGCCGGTTGTGCATGTCCAAGCCCTGATATGGCCCAGCAAGCTTTGTCCACCATGATGGTCTGCACAAAAATATCACGTCGCAGCAGTTGATGAGCCCCTTCTCAGCATATGTCTTCCCGTCCATGCCGTCACAACTACGTCTGTATGTATGTATGTATGTACGTATGTATGTCTGTACGTATGTATGTATGCATGCATATGCACATACACACCTGCACTTTTTTTCGCCGATGCAGATTCAATGGCACCACGCAGGCGTTCAAGCGGTGAAAGCAAAAGTAGAATTAGAATGTGTTTTTGGTGCACTTCGCTGAACGGAGAGGCATTTGCAGAGGTCTTTCCTAGCCCCGCTTTCTTTAAAAGCGCTCTCAGGAGAAGTGCAGCCGAAGGCTTAGGCCGGCCATGATCCGCCGCTTTGTCTCAGTGTAGACTCAGGTGGACTTGGGTAACCCTTGGGGTAACCCTTTGATTGAATCCAGTTGTTTTGACTCTATGATTGGGTTAGCCCGTTAAGCCATTATCCCACGCAATCCCATGCAGTTTGGCCTCATGACGGGTGAACCCATTAAAGACTCAATCATCGCGCAGACTCCTGAGTCTTGCCCCCCCCCCCCCCCCTCACCACCGGTACATTTGAGGAGGGTTAGTGTGTGTGTGTGTGTGTGTGTGTGTGTGTGTGTGTGTGTGTGTGTGTGTGTGTGTGTGTGTGTGGGTGTGTGTGTGTGTGTGCGTGTGACAATGGCGACCCGTATAGTATATGAGTTCTCTGGTTTAAGACGATAGGACGCTATTGAACCACACACAAGTCCTGAGCTCAGCTGTCCAACTCGCACCGGACTGGCTTCACAAGCACGGACACATGCAAGGGCCATTGTGGACTAAGCATAGGTGCAAGTGCTTAGGATGCAGACTACGCGCCTTGCAGCCATGAATATTGCTCTATTTAACCTTCGCACGGTCAAAGAATTCCAAGTGCAGGTTCATTATCAGACACACGACTATCTTGGAAACCGGTGAACATATGCAGATGCAGTCGTGTTTCGCGGTTTATCTGTGGTCGCTTCTTGGGCAGACTGATTTTGATGAATTGTCGTTGTATTGGAAGGCAATGTTGTTCAAATTTGCTGTTTTCATAACCACTTGGGGGGAGGGCCGTTCATGATGTACTTGCCGCTCGGCAATCCAGGAGCACAGTAGCATGCAGTAGCATGCAATGCGTCGGGGGATGGCCGCACGCCCTACTTACCTACTTGGGGGTACCTAGTTGTTCTTTTGATATTCACAGGGGGGGGGGGGGGGGGGGGGGGGGGGGGCGAAATTGCATATTGAAGCGAATCACAAGGACAAGTCTGCCTTCCCGCTCTTTCTCTTTTCCTTCTGTTGAGCTTTCTGGGTCAGAGAGTTAGCTCCTTTCTGAACTTTCTCAGCGAGACATCCTCTTTTTGAACGTTCTAATATTCAACTCTTACTTAGACTTAGACATTTTTTTGGACCTGTCGTGTATGCCAAGAAATTCCATGGTTTCCATGTTCGAAGCACCGTTCAACAGATACACCTTCCTTTGATCTGCAAGTTGCGGGCAGGCACTTACTACCACAAGCATGGCCTCACGGTGTACCGCGGGCAGTGGCTTCAGGACTTGAAGCCTCTATTCGGGGTTTAGGGTTTCGGGTTCAGGGGCTCAGGGAGAGAGATTCTGCGAAGAAGGTCCTGGAGGAGCTTCGCATAGCGTTTGCTGTTCTTCCTCGTGTCAGACCACACTCCGCGCTCTGAGTGAGGCGACATGTGTGACACTATCGTTGCGGTGGGAACGGTAGGGTCTGCAGGTCCATGGGTCTTGAACATGGGGGTTGGGGACTTTGCCCTGAGATGGCCCCGTGTCGTTCTATCATGTCTCGCAGGGGTGTAGTTTAGACATCCGATGTTCAGGGATAGGCATGGATGGCTTCAAAAAAAGCATGTTTTCAAAAGCGTGGAGGCGAGCTTATGTCGGCTGGTGCTCGAGACAGCTCTCGAATTGACAAGTCATGGAACGCAAGGCAGCTGGTGTAGACTTGTTCCACTCTTTTCCTTTTGAGGCCCCCGCCTCCCTCCCCCCCCCCCAGCCAATCCTGCAGTCCTTGACAGCCCTAGGCCCTAAGCTTTCCCTGAATCACAACCCGGTACTTCCCCCTTCGCATGCCAATGAACGCCTCCATCGTGGGGAAGTACGGCTTCCGCCGCAGAGCCGAGCAGCGCACTGCAGCTGTGGCCTCTATCTGGGCACAGGCGACTGTTGGGAAAAGGTAGGAGTCGGTTCTAGGATATACATGTATATATATATATATATATCTCACATGCGCACAAATCTTAAAATCAAACTCTGTGGATAAATCTGCACATGCTAAAACATGAAAGGTTCCATATATCAGGTCCAAGGGCAGGCCACTAAACGGGGCTCATGTCTTTGGTCGTTTGGTTGCTAAACCCTGCAACTCAAGCACTCCAATTGATTCAGCTTCAGAAGTCTTTAGATGCCCTCTGCTTCTGTAGAGTCCCAAGATGAAGGATTGATCAAGGTCATGCGGTTGGAAGACATGTTGAGATGCTTAACCCTGCGCATGTGATCCACCGAAGGTTCATTGGCAAGTTTGCCTCGCGGCGTAGCAAATAGCCCAATCTAAAGGCTTTTCTTGTGAAGCTCTCGAATGTAGTTGCAACTGAAACGGAGAGACGAATGCAGCGCGTGAACTAAATTTCTGAGCAGCCGTCTCGGCAGCCCGGCTGGCCCAGAGCGGGGATTCATCGTTTCGCAAGCCACACTAGCATACTCTAGCCAGGCGCGCGTGTAGCTTGTCAATGGCTTTGCGATGCTTTGCAACACATTGGGAAGGTCTGCGAGCTGGTCGAGGCGGAGGCATGCCAAAGCAGCGTGACTGGCGGGATCCACTGGGAAACGCTTCCCAAGGCAGATATTGAGCTGAGTTGCCAGCATGGGGCGTCGGTTCCAAGGGTAGGGATGGCGTAGTGTTCCCCTAATCACTGACAAAGGCCGCCCAGTATGAGATGCTTTCCGTCTATCGGCCAATAATCGCTCAAACGACTGAAGTCAAAGTCCAATAGGCCAAGACGAAAACTACTTGTGCCCCGCTGAAGAGCCGCAAAACAGCTGCTCAAGACTTGTGCACCCAAATCTGCTACAGCTTCCGCGGGGGCCCTGGGCGCGTCAAAGCACATAGCGCAACAAGCGCAACAAAACCAACAAAAGCAGCAAGCCTCTTGTGAAGCGGATTGGCGATCTCCTGCAGGAAAGTTTTTTGAACCGCCCAAACACTCCAACTGAATCCAGACGTTGTCCCTAACAGCGATTTCCTCCGAGATGTTCTTGCCTTTTTCCCTTTGCAGAGGCCCTGGACCCGGCCGACGGGGAGCTCGATATGGGACGCGCCTCTCGCAAAAGGGCGCAGGCCTTTAAGGATTGGGGGGCAAGTTTTGAGGGCTCGGAGGTTTATCTTTGAGGGTTGCTGCCGGTGGGTGGAATTGTGGAATTCTTCGGGGTAGAGGCCAAGAAATTTCTGCAGCCTGAAAAACAGTTTGCAACCCCAAACAGGTGTTCCTTAAGCTGGCGAAGGTGGATTGTCTGGCCAGCTACGCGCTGCAGATGATGGAGGGAGCGACGAAGGCTCTGAGTATGGTTGTGGCCGTAGCAGCTGGTATAAGCTCGCGGGAACACGATCACCCCGCCTCCTCTTTTTGTGGCCAAAATTTCATCATAAGGTTGTAATTGTAAACGCTCGCTCGCGCCGCCTCGGCAGCCGAGCCGGCCCACGGACAGGAAAGGAGCAAAGAGGGTTTCTGGGCGTTCGCGGGGGGGGGGGAGGGTACGAGGGGGTGGTCCTAGGGGTCCCAGAAAGGTCTCGGAGAGTTTTTTTTGGCAAGAGATTTGCGGTTTCTCAGAAGGTGTCCAGGGTCCCAGGAGGGGGTCCGGGGGGTCGAGGGGGTCCAGGAGGGCAGGGGGAGGGGGAGCCGCTCCGTTTGCAGCTTCTCCAAGCGATGGGGGGGGGAGTGGCCGGGGGGGGGTCCGTCAAAATTTTGTTTGGGGGTTAGGGGGCAGGCCCGATCCGGGTCTGCTTGAGACGCTTCTCGGCAGGAAGCCGAGGCGAATTACTGGTCAGACTAGTTGGAAGCATGTGCTTTGTTTTGTCACAACTTGGGAGATCTGAACTTGCAGGAACTGGAAGGTTATGTATTGGACATGACGGCATGGTGATTATGAGAGGGCCTGCTAGCCGATTCTTAAGGCTTTGTGTCTTCTGGCAGCTCCACGTCCCTTCGACAAAAAAGGCTCCCGGGCCAACGCCGCGCAAGTGTGTGCTTTCCGTCGCCAGCAGCATCACCAGCACCATCTTCATCGTCACCTTCAGCAGAGACATCGTTGTCCTAATCGTCCTCATTGTCCTCCGCGCCCTGCTCTTCATCATCACCAATTGCGGTACATTACATTACATTACATTACATTACATTACATGACATTACATTACATTACATTACATGACATTACATGACATTACATGACATTACATGACATTACATGACATTACATGACATTACATGACATTACACTACATTACATTACATTAAGCATCATCATCATCATCATCATCATCATCATCATCATCATCATCACCATCACCAGCAATCCCGCCACCCCGACGCCCCACCACCCAGCCCACCAGCCACCCCACCCGCCCACCAGCCCACACCACCCCGCAACCCGGCCACCCCACCAACTTCACCACCTTCATCACCATCAGCAATAAAGCACGGCGTTCCGTCATATGCATACTCTGGCTCAGTACTGACCGTCAAGAGGCACTTAGAGGGGTCATCGTGGCCCGATGTGGCATTTGGCATCTGTGTGGGACTAGGGCCTGCTCTAAACTGGTGGTGGACGTTCTCCACAGTCTCAGAAGTCCCCGGTCGTCCCCTCCACGAATCAACCTCGTTTTCCGGGCCCCTGGCAGGTTGTTGAGTTCGGCGCCGGCTCTGGGTCGCCCGGCGGAAGTTGTCTTGCGGCGCAGGACTTCAAGAATGATAACTGCTTGTTGGATGGGCGTGCTATGACTGTTTTGAAGAAAGCAACGGTAAGCCTTGTGCTCGTTTCGCGTTGTGCCGTGTAGGCCTCATCCTCGAAGACCCTCTGCGAGTAGTTCCGGCTAGCATGCAGTTGTCAATGGTGAACATTAACATAAACAGTACCACTAATACAGCAACTTCATGTAACACGCAGCCCCCGAAGCTCTAAACCCAAACCTCTCTGAGGCATCTGGGCTTGCTGTTGGCTTCCCAGCGACCCGATTGCCAAGTGGTCTTGGTGGAGGACCCTCAGCTGAGGGTAGAGGGAAGCCAGGGTTTTGTCAATTGCGGAACTTAAGGCCCCAAGAGGGTTTTGCTTTTGTGCTGTGCTGCTGGATCATAGGATCACAGGGGATCCCTGAGTTTGTCGGCTTCAGGGTAGGGATTGTTCAGGGTTGGACCACATGACTAGGAGGTTCAACTTGGCAGTCCATGTTCAGCGCGGCGTGACATGTTGGCTCCTTCTCCTTCTGTTGCTCCTCAGCCGCAACACCACATGAAGAGAAGGAGGAGAGAAAGAAGCAAGAGAAGCCAATTGGGCTCTCTGCACAAGCCCCTCTCTACAGGCCAAGGCCTACAGCGCTGACGTCGCATCCCGACGAATCGAGCGGGGAACCCCGGAGACACAAAGGGCATCAAAGGGCATCAAAGGGTGCATTTGTTTAGCACAAGCCGAGAGCGCAAGCCGAGAAAATGGGAGGGGGGGAGGTCCACACCACCTGAACTTATTGATGCAACCCTGCCTAACCTCTCAATCTGCACTCAGTACAGATCCTGAACGCTCGCCGTTGAAGAACCCCCAAGACCTTCACCCGCAAGCCTCATGGTTCTCAACTTTCTCGAGCACACCTTCTCAACCATTTGTGGGGCTGTCGAGGGGCACCGGCATCGCAAACTGCCGGGTCTTCCATGGCACCGTCGACGCATTCGCCGCCACTGGCGAGGTGAGCTGAGATTGGTGGACGCAGGGGGAAAGGGGTTGAGTCGGGTTGAGAAATGAGTAACTTGTTGCTCATTGTTAGTATCAAACAGTAAAGCTGCTGGATTTTGTCTAGGTTGCAGGGTTCGGCATCCACAGGTCTGGTACACCATGCCACGAGGGAAGAGGAAGATGGAGACAGATGGAGACAGATGGAGACAGATGGAGATAGGTATGGAGATGGTTTGACGTAAAGTAGAGCGCCAGGACTTCGACCTCGCCGTGGGTTTGCACCTTTGCGGCCTCCTCACGGATGCGGTCTTGGGCAGCCCGGCAGCCTTCTTCTTCCTTGTTTTGTTTTGTTTACATTTTGTTTTGCTTGCGTGTGTCTGTGTGTGTGTGTGTGTTTTTTTTTTGGGTTGTTTTTTTTTGTGTATCTTTGGTGTTTTCATTGTCTCTGTGTTTTAGCGTGTTCTGCGTGTGCATTCTTGTTCCTTATGTTCTGTTTTTGCTTGGGTTGCGGTAAGTGTCTTGGTCTTAGGTGCGCTCCTCTTGATGGTCTGCTATGCTGTCATCCCCTTTTGCAGTTTACCATGGTCCACCAATGAGTTTAGGATGAGGCAGGGGCAATTTTGGGGCTGGTGCTCAATATCGTCCGAGTTGGGTCCCTGACTCAGTTGTTTTAGCCGCTGCATCGAGACGTGTTCAAGACTTTGTGGTTGACCGGTTGGAACTTCTTGAAGCCTTGAGAACCAGAAAATCTGCCTGGAGGGGGCAGAAAAGGTCTCCTTGTAGTCTCAACTCTGAGCCCAGGCTGCTGAATTCTGCTCTCACTTCGCACCGTTATGCGCCTTATTCCCGGGATGTCGTGCAAAGCTTTAGTTGCCACACCGCACCCGCAGGCACAACGAAAGAAGATAACACACCCACACACACACACACACACATATCATCCCACCCGAGTTGCAGCGAAACCCCTTGAACACAGCCTCAGAACTCCTCATGCAAAGTTCTCTCCAACTCCTCTCAGCACCTTCTAGTTGTTCTCTCGAGGCCTTGCAAGACGGCGCAGGGCTGCCGCCTGCGTGGTGCCTTGTTGCTACGGCCAGGCGCTGGGGTGTCTGGAACTGGTCGTTTGCATTGCAGCAGTGTCTACGACACCACAACTGGCGACTTAGCAGGCCAGTTGTACCTAGACAATGGAAAGCCGTCCAGATAAGGCGGAGCCTTCTTGTCATTGTAAGGGCACCGTGGACGAAGGGAAGCTCTTGCATCGTTTCTGTCACCTCACCTAAAACCCGACAGCCACTAGATGACCCTCCAAGCCATTCTGGGGCATACTCTGGCCTTTGCCGTTTTGCCCACCGATTTCTGCCTCTTCAGGTTGCTACGCTCAAGGAGGACCACCAGCGGGGGGAAGGCGCAACCCGCAAATCCTGTGAAGCCTCGTCCCGAAACCCTCAGAACCCTCAGAACCCTCAGAAGCCTCAGAAGCCTCAGAAGCCTCAGCCAACCCAGCGATTCGCCAGCGAACCCCCGATTCCGCGCGAAATGCACGAAGTGCTTGATGTTGCAAGCTGGCTTTCTTTGCCCATCGCGACCATGGTTTGCGGTTTGGCAGTGGTTCAGAGAATTTCAGAGAGGACAAACTTCTGTCACTTTTGTTGCGAAGTGGGCATTGCACCATTTTGTGGCGGTCTCTGGTCCCTGCTACTGCGGGTTGCCTGATGGCTGCGATGGTGGTGGAGACGCACGTTCCCGGAACTCGAACAGTACCAAGCAGGTGTCGCTTCACTATGTTTTTTGACTTGAGGTTTCGGTTTCTGTGCTTTAAGAGCTGCCGACACCAAATGCTGCTGGACATGAACGTTTGGAACTCATTCGCAAATTTGCTGCACGTTGTGGCCTTTGCAGTTTTACTGCATCCAGAGACGACTGGAAATCCGAAAATCCGGGTATCCCATTCACAAAAGCGACACAGAACTTTAATTGCTCTCCGCCTGCCTGTGTCGCAGCACCAAACCATGGATGGCATTGGTAGCTGAACGAGCTTCGGAAACCTCACCACCATTAAAAGGAGCTCCAAGCCTGGCAGGCGACATATCATTGTCCATTCCTTTTTTTCCGAATGCCACAGCGCGCATTGACTTTAGACTCTGGCGAAATGCCGTCTTTCCCGAACCTGAGATCCCGCCAAACCGGAAGGAAAACCCTACCCAAGACCAAAGGTACAGCGCAGCGGATGCATCCTTGCAGCCAGGCAGGGAAAGGTTGAAAAAAAAATTATCAGGGTACAAAAAAACCATGACGGTTGCAAACGTCCATGGGGGTCCATGACGGTTGGGAACGTCCATGGGGGTCCATGACGGTTGGGAACGTCCATGGGGGTCCATGACGGTTGGAAACGTCCATGGGGGTCCATGACGGTCGCAAACGTCCATGGGGGTCCATGACGGTCGGAGACGTTCATGGGGGTCCATGACGGTCGGAGACGTTCATGGGGGTCCATGACGGTTGGAAACGTCCATGGGGGTCCATGACGGTCGCAAACGTCCATGGGGGTCCATGACGGTTGGAAACGTCCATGGGGGTCCATGACGGTCGCAAACGTCCATGGGGGTCCATGACGGTCGGAGACGTTCATGGGGGTCCATGACGGTCGGAGAAGTTCATGGGGGTCCATGACGGTTGGAAACGTCCATGGGGGTCCATGACGGTCGCAAACGTCCATGGGGGTCCATGACGGTTGCAAACGTCCATGGGGGTCCATGACGGTTGCGCAACGCTCATGGACGCTCATGGGGCTGCGCGGGAACAAGGACGCCAAGGGAGCGCCGCGACGACCATGACGCTCATGGTTCGGGGGCGTGGGAGTTCATGAGAGTTCCGGAACGCTCATGGACGCTCATGGGGGCCCATGACGGTCCATGACGGTTGCGCAACGCTCATGGACGCTCATGGGGCTGCGCGGGAACAAGGAGCCGCGACGACCATGACGCTCATGGGTTCGGGGGCATGGGGCCGGGGGCATGGGAGTTCATGAGAGTTGCGGAACGCTCATGGACGCTCATGGCGGGCGCATGAGAGTCCATGAGAGCTGGGCAACGCTCATGGACGCTCATGGGGCCGTAGGGGGAAAAAGACGCCAGGGCAGCGCCGCGACGACCATGACGCTCATGGGGCCGGGGGCATGGGAGTTCATGAGAGTTGCGGAACGCTCATGGACGCTCATGGCGGGCGCATGAGAGTCCATGAGAGTTGGGCAACGCTCATGGACGCTCATGGGGCCGTAGGGGGAAAAAGACGCCAGGGCAGCGCCGCGACGACCATGACGCTCATGGGGCCGGGGGCATGGGAGTTCATGAGGGTTGCGGAACGCTCATGGACGCTCATGGCGGGCGCATGAGAGTCCATGAGAGTTGGGCAACGCTCATGGACGCTCATAGGGCCGTAGGGGGAAAAAGACGCCAGGGCAGCGCCGCGACGACCATGACGCTCATGGGGCCGGGGGCATGGGAGTTCATGAGAGTTGCGGAACGCTCATGGCGGGCGCATGAGAGTCCATGAGAGTCGGGCAACGCTCATGGACGCTCATGGGGCCGTAGGGGGAAAAAGACGCCAGGGCAGCGCCGCGACGACCATGACGCTCATGGGGCCGGGGGCATGGGAGTTCATGAGAGTTGCGGAACGCTCATGGACGCTCATGGCGGGCGCATGAGAGTCCATGAGAGTTGGGCAACGCTCATGGACGCTCATGGGGCCGTAGGGGAGCAAAGACGCCAGGGCAGCGCCGCGACGACCATGACGCTCATGGGGCCGGGGGCATGGGAGTTCATGAGAGTTGCGGAACGCTCATGGACGCTCATGGCGGGCGCATGAGAGTCCATGAGAGTTGGGCAACGCTCATGGACGCTCATGGGGCCGTAGGGGGAAAAAGACGCCAGGGCAGCGCCGCGACGACCATGACGCTCATGGGGCCGGGGGCATGGGAGTTCATGAGAGTTGCGGAACGCTCATGGACGCTCATGGCGGGCGCATGAGAGTCCATGAGAGTTGGGCAACGCTCATGGACGCTCATGGGGCCGTAGGGGGAAAAAGACGCCAGGGCAGCGCCGCGACGACCATGACGCTCATGGGGCCGGGGGCATGGGAGTTCATGAGAGTTGCGCAACGCTCATGGACGCTCATGGCGGGCGCATGAGAGTCCATGGTGCATGAGAGTTGGGCAACGCTCATGGACGCTCATGGGGCCGCAGGGGGAAAAAGAGGCCAGGGCAGCGCCGCGACGACCATGACGCTCATGGGGCCGGGGGCATGGGAGTTCATGAGAGTTGCGGAACGCTCATGGACGCTCATGGCGGGCGCATGAAAGTCCATGAGAGTTGGGCAACGCTCATGGACGCTCATGGGGCCGTATAGGGGGAAAAAGACGCCAGGGCAGCGCCGCGACGACCATGACGCTCATGGGGCCGGGGGCATGGGAGTTCATGAGAGTTGCGGAACGCTCATGGACGCTCATGGCGGGCGCATGAGAGTCCATGAGAGTTGGGCAACGCTCATGGACGCTCATGGGGCCGTAGGGGGAAAACAACACCGTGAACCCATGTGACCCGGGAAAAGAGCCCGGAGTGCCCCGGTTGGTATTCCCGGGTCGCCTGTGTCCGAAGCCTGATAGTCTTTTTTTTTTTTTTCTTCTCTCTCTCTCTCTGTCTCTCTCTCTTTCTCTCTCTCTCTCTCTCTCTCTCTCTCTCTCTCTCTCTGTCTCTCTCTCTCTCCATCCCTCCCTTCTCCCTCCCTCTCCCTCCCTCCCTCCTTCCATCGAAACAAAAGAGTCGCGGGTGTGTGTTTCACTGACAAAGTAGCCCAAAACAAGACCAAAGACTCCGCACCTGATTGAGGAATCTGGCTTATGATGTCATAGTATACAGAAGAATTTAGAGTCGAGAGCTCGCTGCCCAGGACTGCTTAGAAGAGCCCCGGTAGAAACAACTTGGGGACACGCGCTTGACGTTGCTACTGCTTCCGGAGGATGAAATGGGTTGAGGGTTTGGTGTGGCACGAGCCAAATGGTCCACGCTCTCTCCCACGTCGGCCGGCTTTTGTGAACTTTCTGCGGGAGCCCACGCCGCCAATGCTCCGCACGGACTGGCCTAAGACGCAGAGAAAGAAGGAAATGTCTTCGTGCAATTGCGTGGAGCCATGCGCTCGCCTGAATGCAGATTGCGACATGCAAAGCTAAAAACAGGATGATCAGAGATGGAAATCACACATTGACTGCGACTGGAGTCGCCGATTGTTAAGGCCAAGTCGCTCAAACCTCAAAAAAACAGGAATGAGAGCCTACTCTGGATCCAAAGGGTTTAATGGGTTGCAACCTTACACCCTTGTAGCACAGCCAGTGCTGAAGAAAGTCTTCACCTAAACGATGCCTTTCTTGGGGCCCAACTTGAACCCTGGATTCGGCCAAGATGCCCCTCTTGGACCCAACTTGAAACCTGGATTCGGCCAAGATGCCCCTCTTGGGCCCAACTTGAACCCTGGATTCGGCCAAGATGCCCCTCTTGGACCCAACTTGAAACCTGGATTCGGCCAAGATGCCCCTCTTGGGCCCAACTTGAACCCTGGATTCGGCCAAGATGCCTCTCTTGGACCCAACTTGAAACCTGGATTCGGCCAAGATGCCCCTCTTGGGCCCAACTTGAACCGTGGATTCGGCCAAGATGCCTCTCTTGGACCCAACTTGAAACCTGGATTCGGCCAAGATGCCCCTCTTGGGCCCAACTTGAACCCTGGATTCGGCCAAGATGCCCCTCTTGGACCCAACTTGAAACCTGGATTCGGCCAAGACGCCCTTCTTGGGCCCAACTTGAACCGTGGATTCGGCCAAGATGCCCCTCTTGGACCCAACTGGAAATCTGGATTCGGCCAAGACGCCCTTCTTGGGCCCAACTTGAAACCTGGATTCGGCCAAGATGCCCGTCTTGGGGCCCAACTTGAACCCTGGATTCGGCCAAGATGCCCCTCTTGGACCCAACTTGAAACCTGGATGCGGCCAAGACGCCCTTCTTGGGCCCAACTTGAAACCTGGATTCGGCCAAAATGCCCCGCTTGGGGCCCAACTTGAACCGTGGATTCGGCCAAGATGCCCCTCTTGCACCCAACTTGAAACCTGGATTCGGCCAAGACGCCCTTCTTGGGCCCAACTTGAAACCTGGAATCGGCCAAGATGCCCCTCTTGGGGCCCAACTTGAAGCCTGGATTCGGCCAAGATGCCCCTCTTGGACTCAACTTGAAACCTGGATGCGGCCAAGACGCCCTTCTTGGGCCCAACTTTAACCCTGGATTCGGCCAAGATGCCCCTCTAGGACCCAACTTGAAACCCCCCTCTTGGGGCCCAACTTGAAGCCTGGGTTCGGCCAAGATCCCCCTCTTGGACCCAACTTGAAACCTGGATTCGGCCAAAACGCCCTTCTTGGGCCCAACTTGAAACCTGGATTCGGCCAAAATGCCCCGCTCAGAACCCAACTTGAACCGTGGATTCGGCCAAGATGCCCCTCTTGGACCCAACTTGAAACCTGGATTCGGCCAAGACGCCCTTCTTGGGCCCAACTTGAAACCTGGAATCGGCCAAGATGCCCCTCTTGGGGCCCAACTTGAACCCTGGATTCGGCCAAGATGCCCCTCTTGGACTCAACTTGAAACCTGGATGCGGCCAAGACGCCCGGCCAAGATGCCCCTCTCGGGGCCCAACTTGAACCCTGGATTCGGCCAAGATGCCCCTCTTGGACCCAACTTGAAACCTGGATTCGGCCAAGACGCCCTTCTTGGGCCCAACTTAACTTGAAACCTGTTTTCGGCCAAGATGCCCCTCTTGGGGTTAACTTGAACCCTGGATTCGGCCAAGATGCCCCTCTTGGACCCAACTTGAAACCTGCATTCGCTTCTTGGGCCCAACTTGAAAAATGGAATCGGCCAAGATGCCCCTATTGGGGCCCAACTTGAAACCTGGATTCGGGCAAGATGCCCCTCCTGGCAATCGGCCAAGACGCCCTTCCTGGGCCCAACTTGAACCCTGGATTCGGCCAAGATGCCCCTCTTGGGGCCCAACTTGAACCCTGGATTCGGCCAAGATGCCCCTCTTGGACCCAACTTGAAACCTGGATTCGGCCAAGACGCCCTTCTTGGGCCCAACTTGAAACCTGGATTCGGCCAAGATGCCCCGCTTGGGGCCCAACTTGAACCCTGGATTCGGCCAAGATG